TCGTATCGTGATCTGCATGTGAGACTGCACCGGTATGGACTTTGCACATGCTTTTTTAAAATCCTGTTTGTGTGTACTTACCCTTTTGCACTGTCCTTGCATATTTGCTACCTCAGTATGAACAAGTGTATTCTGCAAAGAGGTTAATCACGACACTAAATACAGACACAGGGAACCAATATTGTTTATTTCTACATATACAAAGAAAGCCTTTGAATCCTTTAAACTGTTTTTGTAAATTTTAAGTGTGATAATGACGCATTCTTTGTGTTTTCAGAATTCCTCCCTGCCGATGCTGTCGATATTTTATTCTTGAAAAGTGAAGTGTTTTGAGTTCCAGCGTGAATCGGGAGCTAATTCAGAACCCTTCAGAGTGTTCATGGGGAGGCTACTGTAAGAATGTCATCTCATGAGCTAAAACATGAGAGTTTTGAATCAATTCTATCGACAAAGGTCTTCGACAGCTTCCACTTGTAGCCTTAATGTCATGAATAGGAAAACTGCTGAGTGCTCATGCAATTTGTGACAAGTTCTGAAAATACCTGTTTTGTAAAGTGAGGACCTTGTTTTACTGCAGCTCATCACTGCACTTGAAAATGGTTTAATATCTGGAACCTTAGCGATAGAAAAGGAGCGAAGAGCTCCACCGAAATAGCCAGAATAGGTCAGTGGCCCGATCCAGGCTCAGCCATCGTAAATCTCTGAAAGGCCTTTGTGCAGCGAGGCCAGTGGCTGTCTGCGCTCCACTGCTCACATCCTTAGATGGTGGTTTAGACTGATGGGTCTGGATGGCATCCATTCACTCCACCCAGCCTTCCTTCTGCAATTAGTTCAGTTTGCTCACGGAGCGATGCTGCCTCTCATGCATGCACAGATTTTACCCCAAGAAACAAACAAACAAACAAACAAACAAAACCCCACTCTGTGCTCTCATAAAGTCACACTGAAGGGTTTGTGATTTATTTTAATGTAGTTGTGTATTTTTATTTTAAAGCATCTCTTTGAGCACACTCAAACACAACAAACCCGGTGTGAGAGATGAAGCAATTTAGACAGAAGAGACACGGCGCATGTTTGGAGTTTTATTTCACCCGACCCGAATGTCTATGAGGTGAAAGTACACACGACCCGCCAAAATAAAAGTGCTCTTTCTTGTCATCTATAAAGCTGAGCTTAAAAGTAAAAGCAAAAAGCAAAAAGTCACATTAAAATTAGCATTGTGAAGCTTTCAAGTGAACCTGCACTATTACTTTGCTCTCGGATCTCTAAAAACAAAAAAACAAATCATATATTAGGCTACAAATCAAAGTTTGAGCTTTCATTGGACCACATGATGTGTTCCCGAACAGTTACTTCAATTATTTATTTCTCACTTTTAAAAGGTCTCAAATAGATGCAAGAGAAATCCTAAAAACACAGTTTAAGTAGTAAAATAATTACAGATAACGTCCAGAAGTTTGATGTGTACGTCACAGTCCAAATTAAAATCCAGGCAGATTTTAAATCAGAACTAAAATTTTGATTTAGTCTAGACCAGATTGAAATCATCCTTATCGCAAATTGAGATGTAATCCTGCCGAGGCAGGAAAAAAATCTGAATTAAACCAGAATTATAAGATTGATTTAGACCAATTAAAGTCATTCATATATATGTGGTATTTGTACCAGCCTTGTGTGACTGTTTAACATGATGAAAGATGTGTCACACCTCTTCATATGGATTAGAATGAACACGTTGGTGTGAGGGGCTGAAGGTGGCGCAGTGGTTAGCACCGTTGCCCCGCAGCAAGAAGGTTGCCGGTTCGCATCACTGGGCACCGGGATCTTTCTGTGGAGTCTCCATGTTCTCCCCGTGCAGCGTGGGTTCTCTCTGGGTTCTCCGGCTTCCTCCCACAGTCCAGAAACATGCTGAGGTTAATTGGTGATTCTAAATTGTCCGTAGGTGTGAATGTGAGTGTGCTTGGTTGTCTGTCTCTAAGTGTAGCCCTGTGATAGACCGGTTACCTGTCCAGGTGAACCTGCCTTCACCCTGAGTCAGCTGGGATAGACTCCAGCCCCCCATGACTCTAGTGAGGATTGAGTGGTGTATAGATAATGGATGCATGGATGGAGGTTCACACACGTGGTGAAGTGTGGAGATTATATCAGTTTAACACCTTGTCACACCTCTCTATATATTTGTCAC